CTAGCTAGGTCAGATAGGTTGCATCTGAGAGCGAGGTGATCGCTCCCAACAGCCCCTGGGTTTGGTGGCTGAGAAAGCCCTCCGTAGCTCTTCTTCCAAGAGACAATGGCAGAGAGAGACCCTTGCTGTCACCACAGTGCCAGGCGCAGGGGATGGTGGTTTCCAGCCACCGGGGATGTTTAGGAGCCACTGCTCCTTGTCTCCTTTAACGTTAACACTCCTCCCGCGGAGTGTCTCAGCAGTTATTTGTTTTGATTGCTTTGGATAGTCGTCTAATTGTCAGTGCTCATCACCCCAGGACAACTTTGACGAGTTTCCCTTTCTTACTGAGAGATCAATCTGGTTCATTCGTGAATACATTTTTAAGAAAGGAAAGGCAAGTCTGACACCTGGAAAGAGAAGAGGACTTGGCTTATGTAAAGGCGTGTGTGTCTCTGCCGAATGTCATTTTCCCCGTCGCACGGCTGGGTTGTGTGGGGTCATCTCTGAGCCAGCCTATTCTTGGTCCTTTCTGTGCCAGTATTTCAGACACACTCGTGTTATAGTCGGCATTGTTTTCCCATCCAGCAAAATAATTTAGCTCTCCAAAACCAAATCGGAGTCTATTTTCCACTTAATGAAAATCCGCTGCCTATTATTTCATGCCCCGTGACTCCAAATCTCTCTCCTGGCTTTAATTTTTGTTTCTGGTCCCTTTTTTGCTGATGAACATGCACTCTACTTTGTCTCATGCAACCAGGCTTCTTGCTTAGCTTGTACAGGGCTCTCCACTAATTTGGACAAACCCTGGTAGCCTCAGGTGACACATGGCTCCAAACCCAGGCCGTCCACCCGCTCCCTCCACATGGAAAAGGAAGGTTGTAAGACTTGTACTAGGTAAGGGGTATTGAAGCTCCTTGGGAAATAAGAGCCCAAAGCACAAACGTGAGGGGAGATAATCATGACTAGCCATCACTTACCGAAGGCCTCCTACCTAAAGAGAACTAAGGTAGGTTCTGTGGGAGATGTAAGCCATGGGTCTTCCCTTGATGATGACAGTCAAGTCAGAAAGATGGGACGTCATGGGGAAGACAGCTAGAGAGAGAGCTGTTTCAAAACCACTCAGACAAAGCAGTGAGAGAGTGAGAGAGAACTAAACTCTCCTAACCCCAGACCCTGGGCACAGGACCCTGAGCCCTTTGTTGAGGCAGGAGTGTGCCTGTGAGGTGCTGCTAGAATGAAAACCACCATATGTGCGGCTGGCCTTCCAAATTCAGCAGAGCCATGCACTTCAACCGTGTTCTTATTTATAAGCACTTGTCTTTAAAGTCAGATTACAGTATCAATTGTCACCTAGTTCCTCCCTCCACTTGTTTTTGTTACATCTCTTGATTCTAGAATGGCCCTTACCCCATCTGGGGCTAAACAAAACAGAACAAAGTAAAGCAAAACAAACCTAATCCTGTTACTGCATCTGCAGCTATCTCAACAAAAATCCTCCCTCCAAAAAACCCCTATACAATGTAAAAATCAAGTAATATTGCAAAAGGACAAATAATGTTTGCTAGTTGAAGGGGCCTTTATAGCAAGTGAACAATCTTCCTTATTGTGTATGTGTATGTGTAATATTTTTTTGAATTAAAAAAAATTTTTTTTTATTTTAAGTAGTCTCCACACGCAGCATGGCGCTTGAACTCACGACCCCAAGATCAAGAGTCGCATGCGCTAATGACTGAGCCAGCCCTGCATGTATAATTTTTACGTGTGGATTTCGTATACTCAGATCTTCTTAAAACAGGATCCTATTATGTTCAGACGTTGGAGTTTGTATTACCTAATACCACAATAATATCCTCTTGTATGTTCTTCTCCAGCTCTCAGTTGCTTACAATAAGTACTTCTCATTCTCACAGATGTGTAGGTTGAGTGAGGATTGGCTGGTCTAGCTTAGGCTCCATTGGACAGTTCTTCTTCGGAGCACAGATCTAGACAAGCTTGGGTCTGTGAATTGTTTGGCTCCAGTGCTGGTACAGATGTGTCTCATCCTCTTTGGACTAGTGGGCTACCTGAGGTATGTTTTTCCATTTTTGATGACAGATTTACAGAAGAGGCAAGCAGAAACATGTGACATCCCTTAGGGCCTGGGCCCAGAATTGGCACACCATCCCTTTTGCCTGTATTCTACTGGCAAAGCAAATCGTACTGCCAAGACCAACATCAATGTGTAGGAACATGTACTTCACCTCTTGTGGAGCCTCAAAGCCACATTGATGGCAAGGGTCACGGGTACATGGAGGAGCGAAGGATTCAAAGCATTAACACAATCTGCTGGAACTGGAAGAGAGAGAGAGAGCCCTTATGTAGAGAATGACTCAAAGGAATCATGTTAGTTTGCTAGGGCCACCGTAACAGAATACCACACACTGGGTGGCTTAAGCAACAGACGTTTATTGTCTCACAGTTCTGGAGGCTAGAAGAACAAGATCTGCGGCTTGCAGATGGCCACCTTCTTGTTATATCCTCATATAGCTCTCTTCCCTGTGCACACACATCCCTGGTATCACTCTGTGTGTCGTAATCTCTTCTTATAAGGACAGAAGTCATATTAGATTCCAACCCACCCTAATGGCCTCATTTTAACTTAATCACCTCTTTAAATGCCCTGTCTTCAAATACAAAGTCACATTCTGTGCTACTGGGGGTTAGGATTTCAGCTTTTAAATTTTGGGTGGACCTAATTCAGCTTGTAAGAGGCATTATCTTTTAAGTAGCTCAAAGCACTTTATAGGGGAATTTACCGAATTGGTCATTACAAGATGAAGAATTCAGAGACAAGGGAAGTGGGAGGAGTCCAAATAAGGCTATTAGGTGAATTAGACCAACTTGAGAAAGCGGCTATAGAATAAAGACTGGAATAAAGTTCTCTTTTGACAGATGCCTGGGATTTTTCACCGCCTGAGCCCACCTGAGGTTACTTATCACTGAAATAAGTCAAAGGAAATATAATAGAGAAATCAATCTGCATTTGGCAACAGGGGTCTGCATATTTTAATCCCACTGACCTCAAAATCAATACAATTCAGGCCAAGTGTTCTGGTCACCTTTCTCTTGGTCACCCCTCCAAAAATTACTTGTCAGCAGTAGGGTTTGTCATTTTGAGAGGGGAAAATCCAGTCTATAGCATGAATACTCCTAGTGGAAAGGTATAGGAAGCCCCCAACCTGAGTAGATAGTTCTGCCTACAAGTCAAGAAGCCTGGTGGCCTCGTTCTTTGTAAAACAACAAAATCTGAAACCATCAGCAACAAAAAAGCCCTTTTATAATTTAAATTAATAAGACCGGTAACAAACTTTACCAAAAATCACCAGAAGAGAAATGGCTGGATGCATTAATGTAATTAGTAATATGCTTTATTGTTCACTTAGGAGAGATGCAATCTGTGTGGTTTAAAGATGATAGCTTCTTCCTTAATTTTAAGAAGAAACTCTCCTTTCAGTGGATTAGGGGCTAGTAATGGGTTTTCTAGTAATGAAATTAGTGCTAATGGATCCAATATATGAAGGCAGTAGTAACCATTTAAAAGCAAAGGAAGCAGAACTGTACGATCACAGACCTCTAAACCTTTTTTTTTTTTTTTTTTTTACTAAGGTTCCTCTCTTGTTTTTAAACTCGCTGTGCTTTCTACTCTTGAAACTTGTGAGTTAATGAAGTGGGGAGTGTAGACAGCTTCCCACTGAGCAGGGAGCCTGACGCGGGGCTCGATCCCAGGACCCTGGGACCATGACCTGAGCCGAAGGCAGACGCTTAACGACTGAGCCACCCAGGCGCCCCAATACATCTCTTTTTTATTATGTAATTCAAGAATGTCAAGCATCAGGATTCAAGTGGACACCGAAAAGCTTTTATTTCCTTCCTATTCTTTGGGGGGATTAGAGAAAGGGGGGAAAGATGTAGCAACACTTTTTTTTCTTTCAAGATTTTATTTAAATTGTAGTTAGTTAACATATAGTGTATTATTAGTTTCAGGGGTAGAATTTAGTGATTCATCACTTGCATATAACACCCAGTGCTCATCACAGCAAGTGCCCTCCTTAATGCCCATCACCCAGTTACCCCCTCCCTTCCAGCAACCCTCAGTTTGTTTCTTGGAGTTAAGAGTCTCTTAAGGTTCGTCTCCCTCTCTGATTTCTCCCCCTTCAGTTTTCCCTCCCTTCCCCTGTGGCCCTCCCTGCTATTCCTTATGTTTCACATGTGAGTGGCGCCGTATTATAATTGACTTTCTCTGCTTGACTTATTCCATTTAGCATAATCCCCTCCAGTTCTATCCATGTCGATGCAAATGGTGGGTGTTCATCCTTTCTGATGGCTGAGTAATATTCCATGGTATATATGAACAACATCTTCTTTTTTTTGCTGAACCTGTTTTTAATATTTATTAATTGAAAAAGACATAAATTCCACTTCTACCCCATATTCTTAGACTCTCAAGAAGGAGGTAGCTGCCGGCCTTAAGGATCTGGTATGATACCTAAGTGCCTATCTCAGGCGGGAGAGAGATGTAAGGAAGTGAGACTCAAACTAGGGAACCCCAAAATCGGATCAGGCCCATGCCCTGCTGAGGGAGCATGGCCCATAGCACTTGGCTCTTTTTGCCTGAGGAATTGGGGGCAACCACAAGAGTGGGCCACGCTGGGACAATTCCCTCTCAACTAGGCCCCCAGGGTTGGTGGAGTTAACTTCTCTGCTCATTGGGGCTAATGGCTGAGTTCCTCCAGAGTGAGCAGAGGAGAGGCATATACAGGAAGACCATCCTCAAAGCAAAACGCTTCCAGCTTCCCTCGGGTGCTACAGGAGAAAGCCTGGAACTTGGACCTCTCTTCCCCTCTCCTTGGTGCAGATCCACTTCCAGGAGACCCAGCTAGAGGGCCCTGCAGCCAGTCAGGTGCCCACTGGGGCCATCATACCTTCACATGAGCCCACACAGCCACCTGGGAAGACTCTGTCAGTCACTGTCTGCAGTCTCATTGTTGCATGCCAGCCGGGTGCGTGGGCCAGGCCCCCTGGCCAGCACTGAGGCTGGCCCCTCCCATAGGAGGGGCCTGGGCCATAGGCTGCAACTGCTGCTGGGACTGCCAGATGTGATGGAGCTCCTTGAACTGCTCCACCATGCGGTCTTTGAGGTCTGGGCTTGAGATCTGTAGCCGGATACTATCAGCTGACCAAGAAAGCTCCCCTGAGAACATTTCCAGCAACAGCCGAGCTGCTACAGGCACCACCTGTACAGTGATGAGCTTCTTCTCTCGGGGTTTGCGGTCAGGCCATTCCTCCCCAAAGCAGAAGAAGATCTCAAATGGCGGTGGGGTGTTAGTCTGGCCCTTCTGGAACAGGATGAGCTCACTGAGAAAATGCTCCAGGCTGAAGAGCTTGGTTTTGACCTCCCACTGGATGGGGTCGGGGTGTGAGCTGTGAGCTGAGGCGCAGGGCCCGCTCCAGAACACCTTGCACTGGCGCAGGTGGATGGCATACAGATCTTGGCCTTGCAGCTGGAGTATGAGCCCGTGGTCGAGGACATCCAGCAGCTGGTTTGTGTAGAAGCGCTGCTTGTTGCTGGGGATGTCCTCAGGGCTGGGGAAGCGCACTTGCTCCAGGCTCACAGGGCCGAAGAGCTCTACCTGCTCCTGGGTGGCCTCAAGCTGACTGTAGAAGAGCCGGCAGCCCTGTGGGTTGCTGATGGTGAGGGCCTGGGGTGGCCGCCCCCGGTACTGGAACTTGATCTCCAGGTCAGTCAGAGGCAGCATGTGGGGGCTGATCAGCAGGTCGGGCAGGAGTTGTTCGCCCGTAGGGGGGGCAGGCTGGCAGCCGGGGGCCCGGGCTGCAGGCTCAGCAGGACCTCAAGGAGAAGCTCCCCAAAGCCAGCAGGGTTGCCGGGGGCGGGGCCCAGGAGGTTGGGGTCTGGGGCAGGAGCGCCCAGCACCACAGGCTGCTGGAGAGTGGGCGGCCACTTGACATCCTCTTTGGGTAGAGAATAGGGTGCCATGGGGGGGCCAGGTTGCCCTGCTTCTGTGATGCTCAGGCTAGGTAACGTGCTCCTCTGGAGCACGTCAGTGCAGGCAGGTGCTGCCAAGAATGGTCCCGAGCTCACGTTTTCCTCTAACTCCTCCTCCTCCTCTCCTGCACCAAAAGTGTAGTCCTCACGGGGCTGCGACTCTGCGGGAGCGGAGCCATTAGAGCAGACCTCGTAGATCTTGTAGGGCTGAGGCGGCATGTCCCGGGGTCCATCATAGATGAGGCGGAAGTCACGGCTCTTGTTAAGGGCACAGCGCAGGTTGTCCTTCCACTTAGCCGGGTCCGCCTCGTCCACCCCCTCCGTGTACTTTCCTGTCTCCTTGGCCCAGGCCTTGAAGATGGTATTGTCTCCATCCTGGCTGGGGCTGTGCCGCGTGGCATGGCGCCAGGGGATGCAGAAGAATTTCCTTTCCGCATTGACCCACTGCAGCCCTGGGTACTGGCAGCTGTTCACCTGGGCCACCAGCCAGGGCTTTAATCGCACGCGGCGGGGCGGAGGGGGTGCCCTGGGGGCAGGCTGGTTCATGGCCACGGGGTCTGTCTGCGGTGCGTCCGCGTGGCTGTGCCCCGGGAGCACGGGCCGGGCTGCGCTCTCCCCGAGCTGCGCCTCCCGCCCGCCTGGCACTTACGCATCGCCCGCCCCCGCCCCTGGCTGAACCACACCTTTATCCATTTATTTGTCGAAGGGCATCTCAACTCCTTCCACAGTTTGGCTATTGTGGACATTGCTGCTGTGAACATTCTCCCTCTCCGTTTTTATCTTATTTTTTTTCCTTCCCTTCCCTTATATTCATCTGTTTTGTTTCTTAAATTCCACATATGAGTGAAATCATATAGTATTTGTCATTCTCTGACTGACTTACTTTGCTTGGCATAATACACTTTAGTTCCATCCATGTCATTGCAAATGGCAAGATTTCATTCTTTTTGATGGCTGAGTAATATGCCATTGTATATATAGACCACATCTTCTTTACCCATTCATCTGTCCATGGACATCTGTGTTCTTTCCATATTTTATCTGTTGTGGATAATGCTGCTATAAACATTGGGGTGCATGTGCCCCTTTGAATCACTATGTTTGTATCCTTTGGATAAATACCGAGTAGTGCAATTGCTGGGTCATAGGGGTAACAACATTTTTCTGATTTTCAAGCAAATTATACAGATTTTCAATGAAGTGGATCCAGATTGAATTGGAAAACGAACTGAAAAAAATGCTGCAGATCAGCAATTACCATGCATGGCAGACAAAGGGTCTTCTATTCATTCATTAATTTATTTATCCTTTATGTATATATGCATTTATTTCTATTTTTCTGTTTGATGACTCTTATCATCATAGATGCTGAGTTCTCAGTGAGCCACTTATGTTAACACTCTGAGAATATCTCCCCAGAGGAAAAACTTTTCTTAAAGTTGCTGGGCATTTTTCAATAACATTAAATTAGATAGGGTTTCCTCAACAGACTGGCACCAAATATGGATACACAGAACAGAAGACTTTTTCCAGTGAGTCTTCTATCCTCACCTCTGTGTTATGTATCATTTTTCCCCTCCTCTGTCTTAGGCAACCTGATTCACAGTTGTCCAACTCAACACAAAACTCAAATCAACACAATGACATTTATTTGTTCATGACACCAATATTTTTGCCATCCCTTTGGGTTGTCTTTCAAATAACATTGGAAAGTAATCTTGAGCCGTTGTTGGTAGAAGATGTGTTTTTCTTTTTTTTTTTTCCTGTTCTTTAATATTTAATTTTGTTTTATGACTAGATAATACATCCACATGATTTGCACATCAGAACAACATAAAAATCTCTGTGTTGAGAGATCTCACTCCTATTTCTTTCCTATGTTCCCTTTACCTGTTCCTTTATCCTTTAGAGGTAATCACTTTAAAAAAAAAATTTTATTTGTTTGAGAGAGAGAGAGAGAGAGAGAACATCAGTGGAGGGGAGGGGCAGAGGGAGAGGGAGAAGCAGGCTTCCCGCCGAGCAGGGAGCCTGATGCGGGGCTCGATCCCAGGACCCTGAGATCATGAGCTGAGCTGAAGGCAGACACTTAACAGACTGAGCTCTCAGGTGCGCCTAGAGATAATCACTTTTATTAATTTCTTATATATCCTCCTATACAATGCAAGAAAATACAAAAAGATATTCTTATATTCTTCTTTCTTACACAAAAGACAGCATATATGTGGCCCTCTACCTCAATTGTTTCAGTTAGGCATGCAATCTGGAGTTAGTACCAGATCTGCCCTGGGAGATCTTACTCATTCTTTTTTTTTTTTTTTTTTAACATTTCATAGTATTCCAGAGTTTATTTAACCAGTTTCCTATTGATTGACATGGGGTTGTCCCAATCTTTTTGCTGTATATAATCAATACTGTAATGAAGGAGTTGTATGTATTTTATTTTATGTCTGTGAAAGTGTATCCACAGACTAAATTCCAGAAGTGAAGTTATTTGGCCAGTGGATAAATACATTGAAATTTTGATAGATACTGTCAATTTGCTTTCCATTAGAGTTGTACCATTGTGTATTCCCCTGTCGTTCCACCCGCTAGCTATGTGTTTAAGTGCCTGTGTCCCCACAGCACAGTAGGAAGTGAATATACTGTGAATATAAGTGAATATAAGTACTCCTAACTTGGTACTTAAAGTGCTCGACACTCAAACTGTGTAACATATCTGCTTGCTCTGACCATCTTCTCTAATGCTGTAACTCCAAGTAGCGTTGTCTGAATGTTCTGCTGAGTACAATTTAATCCTTTTCTTTTAAATTTTTTAAATTGTGAAATACAACACATCCACATAGAAAAGGGCATAAAACAAGAATCATAGCTTAATAAATTATTGTGAAATGAATACACATGAACCACAACCCAGGTAAAAATAGAACATTTACAGTATTCCAGAAAGCCCTTGATGTGTCCCTCCTTCCCCACAAAGAAGTCACTATCCTACTTTTTTTCCAATATTCAGTCTTTCATATTCTTTATACTTTGACTTCTTATATATTGCAACGTTAAACATTCTATCATAGTTTTGCCTGTTTTTGAACTTGATATAGACAGAATAATATAGTCTCTAGTCTTTTTTTTTAATTGCGGTAAAATATATATAACATAAAATCTACCATATTAATCATTTTAAGTGTACAGTTCAGTGATATTGAATACATTGTCAGTGTTATGCAGCCATCACCACCATCCATCCCTAGAACTATTTTCATCTTGTAAAACTGAAACTCTTAACCTGTTAAACAATAACTCCCCATTCTCTCCTCCTCCCAGCCCCTGTTAACCACCATTCAACCTTCTGTCTTTATGATTTTGACTATTCTGAGTACTTGATGTAAGTGGAATCATATAGTATCTGCCTTTTTGTGATTGGCTTATTTCACTTAACATAATGTCCTCGGAGTTCATCATGTTGCAGCATATTGCAGAATTTCCATCCTTTTACAGGCTGAATAATATTCTACTGTATGGATAGATGACATTTTGTTTATCTGTTCATCTGTTAATGGACATTTGGACTGTTTCCAATTCTTGGTGACTTTGACTAATGCTGCTATAAAGATTAGCATAAAAGAATGTTGGAGTCCTGCCTTTAATTCCTCTGTGTATATACCCAGAAGTAGAATTTGCTGGATCATACGGTTCATATAAATAGAATGATATAGTCTGTACTCTTTTGTGTCTGACTTGTTTCAGCTACATTTTGTTGGTGAGGTACATCCATGTTGATGCATGTAGCTGTAGCTCATTCATTTTTGAGGTCTGTTCCATTGTCTGAATATGCTATAATTTATCCATTCTACTTTTGATGTTTCTGTGAGGTGTTTACAATTTGGGGTCACGACTACCAACGGCTCTATGAACCCTGTGGCACATGCTTCTGCTGCACACATTTCTACTTCCCATACACCTAGGGTTGGAGTTGCTGACTCACAGGGCTGTTGTAAGGATAAGGATGAAGATAGCCTTAGCTGACTTGGATTGTGTTACTGTGGAAATAATAAGAGAACCTATTACGTTAAACAGATAACTGGTTTTGGATTTTATTTTAAAACTCCTTTTGAAAAAACTTCATTTTTTAAGGTCTTGTATCAAACTTTCGTTCTATTCTTGGGTACATGTAGACCCCACATTTGTAAGCAAGGTTTCCATGTATGGGCTGTGACCCACAGGACACAGAAAGGTGACTGCTAATGTCTCCTAGACATCTAGAACAGGAGCTAGCAAACTAAAGCGCCACAATCTGTTTCTGTAAATAAAGTTTTATTGGCACACGGCCATACCCATTCATTTACACATGGCTACTTGTGTGCTACAACAGCAAAGTTGAGTGATTGTGGCAGAGACTATATGGCCCACAAAGCCCAAAACATTTACTCTCTGGCTACCGGTGCGATGACAGATTACCACTAATAAAGTGGCTTAAAACAACACGAATTTATTGTTTTACAGTTTTACAGTTCTGTAGGTCAGAAGTCTGACAGGGTCTCACTTAGGCCAAAATCAAGGCGTTGGTAGGGTTGATATTCTTTTCTGACACCTCTAGGGGAAAATCTGTTTCCGTGCCTCTTCCGGCTTTTAGAGGCCGCCTGCATTCCTTGGCTCCTGGCCCCTTCCTCCATCTTCAAAGCTAGCAATGTTGCATCTCTGTGTGCCTTTCTTCCATAGTCACATCTCCCTTTGACCACTGCTGGGAAAGCTTTTCTGATTTTAAGGACGCATGTGATTATTAGATTTGGCCTATTCAGATAGTCCAGGATATGGCACCCCCTTCCTCCAACAAAGATCTTTAACTTAGTCACATCTTCAAAGTCTTTTCTACCATGTAGGGTAACATATTCATAGGTTCTGAGAATTAGGATGTGGACATTTTTGTGGGCCATTATTCTGTCTAGCACACTAACTCTCTACAGAAGGTTTGCTGACTTCTGATCAAAAACAAAAGGTTGAGAAATTTCTAGATGGAATCCAATGTAATCTGCTAGAAATACAGCTTCCTAGTCAAGAATTTGTCATTTCTGCATTCCCTAGCTTCTCTCCCAATCCACCTAAAGTCATCCCAGCAAATGAGACAAGTCACAGGGCTACATTACTGACACTTCAGTACGGTGGAGGAATTAAAATATGGACAATTCCTTGATGTCTTTCTCTTACAAAACTCTCTCTGTCGTGTCTGACTTTCCCCATGGACTTAAATATGCTTCTCAGCATCAAATTCAATCATAATCTCTCCCAACAGGCCAGCAAATCCTTACTCATTTTTTAGTATTCTGATATGCCTTAGCATTTTCCAACTCAGTAGAAAATGACCTCACTGAGATCACATTATAAAGCCCTATTAAACACAATTGGCAATATAAAGCTATCAACAGCTACCTTTCCCACATTTACTGAACATATGAATAGTCTGTCAGCCTGTCTCTATCTTCCTAGCACATTTCCTCGGGAAACAAATATTTAGGAAGCACTATTTGCCTGTTTTTTTGCTCTTGCTTTTC